CGGCTCACTGCAGCCTCACCTCCCAGGTTCAAGCGATTCTCCTGTGTCAGCCTCCCAAGTAGCTGGGATTACAGGCACACACAATCATGCCCGGCTAATTTTGTATTTTTAGTAGAGATAGGGGTTCCACCATGTTGGCCAGGCGAGCCTCAAATTCCTGACTTCAAGTGATCCACTGGCTTGGCCTCCCAAAGTGCTGGGATTACAGGTGTGAGCCACCGCACTCAGCCCACTCACATTCTAAAAATGAAAAAAACTAACCATAGACCCCTAATATTTTATTCCCATGGACAAATACCAGGGCGTCTTTCATAGGTGTGTTGTCAGAGCTTTTCTGAGTTCGCCAGCTCATGGCTTCCAAACCCTCTGCCCTTTTCTTCCGAGGATCACAAGGTGAGTCTTGAGGGAGTCTCAGGGTGTGCAGTTCCCAGGGTGGTTCCCTCTCTGGGGCACATTCTCCTACATTCCTCTAAGGCAGTACTCACTGAGGACCAAAGCTTCTCAATGTCAAACTGCGAGTCGCTGCTCTTAATTCCACAGCAGGCTCAGTGTCCTCATCTGTAAAGCCTGACCTGCCTATCTGCAGAATTGTTGTCAAGATTTAAAAAATAAAATAGGCTGGGCGTAGTGGCTCATGCCTATAAACCCGGCACCGTGGGAGGCTGAGGCCGAGGCAAGAAGATTGCTTGAGTCCAGGAGTTCAAGACTAGCCTGGGCAACACAGTGAGACCTCCATCTCTACAAATAATAAAGCAAAATTAGCCGGGTGTGGTGGCCTGTAGTCCCAACTACTCAGGAGGTTGAGGTGGGAGGATCACTTGAGCCCAGGAGGTCGAGGCTACAGTGATTCCCATTGTACCACTGCACTCTGGCCTGGGTGACAGAGCAAATAACTGCCTCAAAAAATAATAATAGGCCGGGCACAGTGGCTCACACCTATAATCCCAGTGCTTTGGGAGGCCAAGGTGGATCACCTGAGGTTGGGGGTTCGAGACCAGCCTGACCAACATGGAGAAACCCCATCTCTACTAAAAAAATACAAAATTAGCCGGACATGGTGGCGCATGCCTGTAATCCCAACTACTCGGGAGGCTGAGGCAGGAGAATCGTTTGAACCCAAGAGGCAGAGGTTGTGGTGAGCTGAGATCGCGCCATTGCACTCCAGCCTGGGCAGCAAGAGAGAAACTCCATTTCAAAAAAAAAAAAATTAGCTGAGTGTGGTGGCACATGCCTGTAATCCCAGCTACTCGGGAAACTGAGGCACAAGAATCACTTGAACCCAGCATTCGGAGGTTGCAGTGAGTGGAGATAGTGCCACTGCACTCCAGCCTGGCAACAGATCGAGACTCCGTTTTAAAAATAAATAAATAAATAATAATAATAATAAATGAAATAGTGTCTGTGAAAGCATGTTTCAAAGGAGGCTACACAAGCAGAAAATATGAGGGTGCAATTTCCTAGTTGAAAATGCCTCACGGCTCCCCGTTGCTTATAGAATAAAGCAAAACTCTTATCTGAACACACAGCAGCCTCCACCCTGAGGCCCCCCTGCCTCCCAGGCTTCTCCTGTCCTCCTCCTCACACAGCCTGCGATGTAGCCAAGCCGTAGCACCAGAAGCTTCCCCACCACAGCCAGTTTCCTGACTGTGTCTTTGTTCTTGTTCTTCCCACCAGAAATCCCTTTCCCCATCCCAATCTGTGAAGATCTTCCCTACACCTGTAGGTCTATAAAAATAAAAAAGCTTAGACAGTGTTTTACTTTTTTTTTTTTTTTGAGACGGAGTCTTGCTCTGTCACCCAGGCTGGAGTGCAGTGGCACGATCTCGGCTCACTACAAGCTCCACCTCCTGGGTTCACGCAATTCTCCTGCCTCAGCCTCCAGAGTAGCTGGAACTACAGGCGCCCGCCACCACGCCCGGCTAATTTTTTTTTTGTATTTTAATAGAGACAGGGTTTCACCGTGTTAGCCAGGATGGTCTCGATCTCCTGACCTCGTGATCCCCCCGTCTCAGCCTCCCAAAGTGCTGGGATTACAGGTGTGAGCCACCACGGCCGGCCGACAGTGTTTTTCACTTCTTTCCTTTTTCTTTTTCTTTGTTTTTTTTTTTTTTTTTTTTTTTTTTTTTTTTTTTGAGACAGAGTTTCCCTCTTGTTGCCCAGGCTGGAGTGCAGTGGTGCAATCTCAGCTCACTGCAACCTCTGCCTCCCGGGTTCAAGCGATTCTCCTGCCTCAGCCTCCCAAGTAACTGGGATTACAGGCATGTGCACCACGCCTGGCTAATTTTGTATTTTTAGTAGAGACGGGGTTTCTCCGTGTTGGTCAGGCTGGTCTCGAACTCCCGACCTCAGGTGATCTGCCTTGCCTTGGTCTCTTAAAGTTCTGGGATTACAGGCATGAGCCACTGAGCCCGGCCAACAGTGTTTTTCTTTAAGTTATAAAAGTAAAATATGCAAAGTGTATTCCACCAACACTTTGGGAGGCTAAAGCAGGATCACTTGAATACAGGAGTTTGAGGCCAGCCTGAGCAACGTAGTGAAACTCCGCCACCATCACCCGCCCCCCATCTCTACAAAAAAAAAAAAAAAAATTAGCCAGGAAGGATGGCGTGCACCTACAGTCCCAGCTACTCAGGAGGCTGAAGTGGGAGGATCACTTGAGCCCCAGAGGTCGAGGCTGCAGTAAGCCATGAGTATACTATATTCCAGCCTGGGTGACACCAAAACCCCGTCTCAAAACAAAAAAAACAAAGAGTTTAGACAGTGTTTCTCTTTAAGTTATATAAGTAATATATGCACATGATACAAAATGAAAAGCAAGTGCCTCTCTCCCCCTAACCCCTGCAGGGTTACCCCACAAATATCCTTCCAGAAAGTTTTTGTGGATCTACCAACATATATATGTCTGTTCTATTTAAATTTAGGTAAATGAGATTACACTAAACATGCAGCTTGCTTTTTTTTTTTTTTTTTTTTTTGAGACGGAGTCTCGCTCTGTCGCCCAGGCTGGAGTGCAGTGGCCGGATCTCAGCTCACTGCAAGCTCCGCCTCCCGGGTTCACGCCATTCTCCTGCCTCAGCCTCCCGAGTAGCTGGGACTACAGGCGCCCGCCACCTCGCCCAGCTAGTTTTTTGTATTTCTTAATAGAGACGGGGTTTCACCGTGTTAGCCAGGATAGTCTCGATCTCCTGACCTCGTGATCCGCCCGTCTTGGCCTCCCAAAGTGCTGGGATTACAGGCTTGAGCCACCGCGCCCGGCCTGCAGCTTGCTTTTTTAAACTTACTATAAGTTGGAGATAATTCCTTTATCAGTACATGGATAACTGACTCATTGCTTTTAACAGCTGTGTCACATTATCACAAATATACTCCTGGCCTATTTAACTTCCCTCTCTGGCCTCACAGGTGCGTGTTGCTGCAGCCAAGGCTGTGATCAGCATCCCTGCACCTATGTGGCCGGGCAGCATGCCATATTTGCACGGGACAAATCCCTGACACTCGCTTAACCACCACCATGAATCCCTCCCCTCCTGGGGACTCCTACAGAGCTTCCAGTAGAGCTCCAGGAGAGAGGACCCAGCTCAGGCATTCGTAGCGTGTTTGTTAGTCTAAAGTCAGATCGTGACTGAGTTTAAACCCCAGCTGCTCCCCTCACATCGCCCTCTGCCTCAGTTTTCTCATCCCTAAAATGGGGATGATCATAATGGTGCCTACTTCATAGACCAGTACCGCAGATTATATAGACTAAAGCACTTTGGAATGGCTAGCTGCTCTCACCCCTCCTGTTACAGTATTGAGTTCCAACATCTCCCTGTAGAATGCTGGCACTTTGTGGGCAGACCCGGGTTTTGTTCCTGTCTGCACATAAGCCTGGAATGTGCTGGTCGCACAATAAATGGTCTCTTACATTTGTTATTAGGAGCAACCCGCAGTTTTGGCCCACTCCCCCTCCTTCCAGCCTGTGCCCTCCTTGTGGCCCCAAAGCTGGGGAGGAGAGATGCATCTCTCAGGATAATCCCCAGCAGCCAGGTGCTCCCCACCTCCACCCGGGTCAGCAGTAAACACCAGAGTCCTTGGGTTGGGGGGCAGGGTGGCTCAGGAGCTCTCTACAGTCCAGAGGTTTTGCCTTGGCCCTGACACCCCCAACCCCGCCCCTCCAAGGCTGAGTCTCTTCAAACTCTGCTTCTCCTGGCCTGGCCTCCTGGAGCGGGACAGGCGAGATGATAAGCATTGGGGCTGAGAACGGGGCATCCAGACCTTGGAGTTCGGTCCTAGCTGCCCTGGCCAAGGTTTTGTTTCTCTAGTCCCAAGAGTCAGGCCCTTGGAGTCCAGGGAAGAGAGAAGGAACCACCTGGGCAGACAGACCCAAGTCAAGGGGCCAGGTGTCGCCGGCGTCCCCGGTCTCCAGTCTGGCTCTGGCCCACATGGCAGCTGGAAGGGCCAGAGCTGGGTGGGTTCTGTCAATGCTTCTACGGGGTGTTTGCGGGGGTGGGGGCGGCAGGAGTCAAAAATGTTGGCCTTAGCTACAGGGCAAATGCAGATAGGACCTCCACGGAGAGCCTGTTCCCAACCCAAGGGCACAGCAGAGCTAGGGGAGAGGCCTCGGGGTCCAGGAGGGAGAGGTGTTCAGGCCCAGCTTCCCGGGTACAGTGTGACTAGAGACTAAAAGGGTCAAGGGAACAGGCCCACCTGGCCTGAGGATGAGGGCGCTGGAGGAAGGGGATGGGAGATTGGGTGCTTTTTCTTGAGGGGAAGGGGCGACTTAAAGACAGCAATCCAGACCTAGATGACGTGTTTGGTCTGGGGTGGAGTGAGGACGCTAAGAGAGAAAGGACGGCGCCCTGAAGAGACCAGCTCGGGCGAAAACAGGGCTCTGCCCAGGCGGGGACCCAGCTGGGTGGAAGGCGGAGGCGGGAACCCAGGAAGCAGACAGAGCAAAGGCTGCGACCGGCAGGCCCCGCCCCCCGGAGCCCGGCCCCGCCCCCCGGAGCCCGGCCCGTCCCCTCGACCGCCCGCGCGCAGGTAGGGAAGAGGCGGAGCGCCGCCGCCCCGCCCCCGAGGAGCCACCGCCCAGCCGCTCGCAGGCGCCGCACGGAGCTGCGTCCCGGGGACTTGGGGCCGCAGGGAGGTGAGCGCGGGGTGAGGAGCGGGGCAGGGCTCACGGCAGCCCAGCCACAGGCGCTGGAAGGGTCTCGAGGTTGTGCCCAAGCCTGCCCTGGAGCGGTGGTGCGCGGCCAGGGAGGGTGCCCTGTGCCCGGTGCCCGCCCTGCGGAGCGCCTGGGTCCCACGTGGGCTCGGCTGGAGGCCCGGGCTGGCTCGGAAGGCGCCGGCGGGGCCGCTGGACCCGGTCTGCTGGCCCCTAGAGCTCGGCTCGATCAGGACGCCTAAGGGGTCCTTGGGTAACGGGGCGCCAGATGTAGGGGCAAGACGATTGGGCAGAGGTTTAAACCTCCGGAGGAAGAGAGGGAACTGCGCAGGGCAGTGCCGCCTGCGTCCCTGAAGTGCCTGCAGTTCAGACCCTTCTCTCCCCTCCGTTTTCTCCCGGGAGAGCACCGGGCAATCTGAGGCCGAAGTTTGTTGGTTGAGCCGGCCAAGGTGGAAACAAGTGCGGGGATGGGGATGAGGGAGCCAGACTCACACAGCGGGGCTGGACCGGAGCTCAGAAATTGGGCCCAGGAGTCCTGACTTCTGGATGGAGGGGCTGGGGAAGGTTGGCTTGGGCTTGCCTTTTACCTATTTGACCCCTCGGATGTCCCCCTAGGGCGTTGGGTTAGAGACGGATGAGTCCCCTAGGGTACAGACCCCGCCCCACTCCCACGCCAGGGCGCAAAGGAAGCCTAGGTTTTGGTCCTGTCCCATTCCATGAAAGATCAACGGAGGGGGCTCTAGGGTTGGAACTACTGAGAGGGTGGCAGCGGGTGTGTCTGAGGAGCAGAAGGCGGGGGGAGCTGACCCCACATGGGGAGAGGCTGCTATTGCCTGGGCGGCTGGCATCAGGCCCCCAGTGTGTACCATTTGCTGGTAAAATAATGAGACCAGCATCTGTCTTATTTGACCATCACTGTCTGTAGGGCAGGGAGTGGAGTGGAAAGGGAGGCGTGTTTTAGAGCAGTGGTTCTCAACCAGGGGCGACTTTGCTTGCCATGGGCTATTTGGCAATGTTGGAGTGATTTTGGGTGTCACACACTTGGGAGGGGAAGTGAGTGTTGTTACTGGCAGGTAGTGAGTAGAGACCAGGGACGCCACCAGACATCTTCAGGGCACAGGACAGTCCGCACAGCGAGGAATTATCCAGCCCAAAGTGCTGTGCTGTGCTGTGCTGTGCTGTGCTGTGCTGAGGCTGGGAAACCCTGCCCAGCACCTAGTCGGTCAGGTTCCTTCTCAATGATGCTCCCTCACTGGGGAAACTACCTCAGTTTTCCCGAGTGGTTAGAAGAGGAACTTGAAATAAACCTGAATGAGATAAGGGGTAAGGCAGTGTGAGGACACTTACTCCCCTTGCAAGAGTTCTCCTTTGGTGCCATGAGCCACCACTGTTCCCAATCTCCACGGCCCTGCAGGAAGCTGGTCTGGGTGCCGTGGGGTAGAGGTTGGGAACAGGGGACCCCCTCGCAGCCCAGGCCTGGAGTGCTTAACCCCAGGGCAGTCTCCCAGGAAGGCTGGGCTGAGGCAGCCCTTGAGCTCAAATATCCCTGGGCTGCAAGGGTGGGCAAAGGATGAACTCTGTTCCCATAGATTTTCCCAAAGCTGAATTGCTGAGGCTGGCATGGGTGCCTGATACCATGTGACTGCTGGAATTTTCCCTTCTGAACTGACACCTAACTCCTCCAATGATGTACACCTTTTGAAAGCGACATCCAAGGAGTATCAGGGCTCCTAATTCCTAAAAGCTCCCCAGGCTGCTTTCCTCCTGCAATAAAGAGGGCACCCTGGGTTAGCAGATGAGCCCTGGAGTGGGCCCAGCTGCTGGCGGGGTGGGAGCACCCTGCCTGTGGTGTAAGCAGAGGTGAGAGATGGGAGACATCAAAGCACAGGCCAGGCGGCCCCCCAGTAGGGATGACTCAGAGTTGTTTGTGTTGGGCTGGAGGAATGTACTTCCAGTTTTCTGGCAACGAGGAGGGGTGGCTGGGTGGGAGGGGATCGGATGAAGCAGCCACGTCCATGCCCAGGAGCCAGAGCCACTTCGCTGCCCTCCCTCCCCGTTTTCTTGCAGTAGCCATTACACCCATCTGTTCACTACTGGTCTGGGCCTTCTTGCCTGGGAACCCTGGTGGAGGTTTTCGAGCCTGGCTTCTTTTTGCTGGTGCTGGTGGGGTTTTGTTTGTTTGTTTTTGTTTTTATTTTTGTTTTTTTGGTCTCTCGACTGTAAAAGGCCGAAGTGAAACTCCCACCTTTTCATTTGCACAAAAAACAAAAGTGGCCTCCATTGCTGTGAGCCTCTTGAGGGACAGGGCTGAGCACCCAGACTTAGACAAAGTTGTTCAGAAAGTCAGCAGTGGAGCTCAGGTGTGAACCCAGTTGCCCACCCTCAGGCCCAGCCCAAGAACCCCACAAACAGACCCTCAGTGACTCCTACCTGTCTATATCTGGTGTAGACACACACACACACACACAAACACACACAGAGACACACACAGAGACACACACACAGAAACACACACAGAGACACACAGACACACACACAGAAACACACACAGAGACACACACAGACTCACACAGAAACACACACACACACAGAAACACAGACACACACAGAAACACAGACACACAGAGACACACACACAGAAACACACACACACAGAAACACACACACATACACACACACACACACTCTCTCTTTCCAGCCCAGGAGGGCTGTAAGAGGAGGAAAAAATTACACTACAAATGCTTTGGGTGACCTGGGACCCGAGTCCTGCTCTGGGGTCAGTGGTGCTGTTTTGGCTGTGACCTCAGCTCTGGATACTGTGGTGGCCTCTCCACCAAGGTTTCTGTCCTCCTTGCTGTGTAAACTCTGCCCCAGACAAGGTGACAGATGACAGCAGAAGTCAAGGAGCTGCGCACACCTACCCGTGAGTGTCCGAGTGGCATGGCTCAGCCGCCTGGTGCTTCCCTTTGGGCCTGGCCCCCGCCTGCCGCTGGCACAGCACAGGGAAGACGTGTGCCCTCCTGGCTGCCTCTCCCCCTCCACACTCTCCTCAGATCTCTGTGCCACGCACTCTGGAGCAGGCCTCGGCACTGCCCTGTCTGCCCCAGGGGGTTTCCAGAGTGAGCTCACGCATCTGCACCGGCTGCATTGGCTGTCGGAAGTGGCTCCCGGTTTCCTATCCAGCTGAGCCAGGCTGGGGGAGGAGTGGTGGGGACGTCTGCGCCTGCCCAAGTGCAGGCTGACCTCGGCAGTGGTAGTGGCTAGTCAGGGACAGCTCTCAGGGCACGGGCGGCTTCACAGGGAAACCAAGCCTGCCTGGAACATCGTTTTGCCTCCCAGGAGACCTGGATGGGTGTAAAGAAAAACACATCTTCTGGGAAGTACAAAGTGCCACCGTGTCCACGGCCCCTCCTTCAGCAAATGTATCCGGACGCCCAACTGGGAGTTGTTTGTGGTCCAAAAGCCACTGGAAGGCAGTTCCAGCCCCGATGCCCGGCTCCTCCAGGAAAGTGGTTTCAGCCCAGTGGGCAGCGCGGGAGGTGGGCCGGAGACACTGTTTGGAGTGTGAGGGGAACCTTGTGATCAGTGGAAAAGGATGGAGGAGGATTCCAAACTTCAGTAGCTGGGCCAAGGCCCAGGGGCTGCCGGGCACAGTCATCTATGTGTGTGCTCAATAGGATGGGGTCACTTAACTAGTCTGTGCCTCAGTTTCCCCAGCTGCACAGTGGGGTCACTAACAGTAATCTACCTGGAGGGTTGCGTGAGGTGAGGATTCCCGTGGTGAAGGTGTGCAGCCTTCAGTGCAGTGCCCGGCCATGGCAGGAGCAGTGAGGGGAGCCGTCGTGATAATGGTGTTAGGGTGGCTTCAGGTAGGGGCATGGCTGCCAGTCCATAGCACAGCCTTGGGAGATGGCCAAGGCCCTGCCTCATGGGCTGTCAAGGACTAGATGGGAACGTGCATGTGGAGCAGTGACACTGTTGTTGTTGTTATTGTTATTCCGTAGGAGTGTGTCTGGGGTAGGGGGACCTCAGTGCCTTGGTGAACAAGGGAAACGAGGGTGGGTTTCCATCTGGGCATGAACTATTGACCTCTCCCCGGGGGTTTTCCTGGCCTGCCAGTGTGTGTGTCACTGACGGTGGGGTGGGGAGCAGATCGTGGAGCTGGTGCCCCTCAGCTGTTCTTTCCCTGGCGTAGGTTCCTGGGGCTGGGAGCAGGGTAAAGCTACCTCAAGTCTTGGTTTTCTCCTCTGCCTCCCCCGTGTGGCCCCCAATCCTGTGCTAGCAGGTGGTGCGGGGATGGCTTCCTGCCCTGATCTCCGCCAAGGCTCCCCAGGTTGTCAGCTCCATGTAGCCATAAGATCTGGGGCCGAGTGCAGTGGCTCATGCCTGTAATCCCAGCACTTTGGGAGGCTGAAGCGGGCGGTCGCAAGGTCAGGAGATGGGGACCATCCTGGCTAACACAGTGAAACTCCGTCTCTCCTAAAAATACAAAAAATTAGCTGGGTGTGGTGGCAGGTACCTGTGGTCCCAGTTACTCGGGAGGCTGAGGCAGGAGAATCACTTGAACTCAGAAGGCAGAGGATGCAGTGAGCCAAGATCACACCACTGCACTCCAGCCTGGGCGGCAGGGCGAGACTCCGTCTCAAAAAAAAAAAAAAAGAGAGATCTGGAAGAGGAGGATTGAGGATGTGCTGTGGGGTTTGGAGTGGAAACAGGACTTTGAACCCTGGCCTAAGCCCCTTTTGACCTTGCCCGCCCGTGAGGATGATGACAGCTGCCTGTCACCCTCAGCCTCAACTAAATGAGCTCATGTTTGTAAAAGTCTTTTGCAAGCCGAGCAGTGCCACCCAGGCAGTTAGGTGCTGTCCATTCTTCATGAATTAAAGGCCTTTGCACGCGGGACACACTCCAGCACCCCAAACACTCAGAGTCCTCACCCGTTCTTTTTCCCCTGCCCCTCACCAGTTCCAGGGTGGTAGGAG